GCGACGGCTGCTTTGAGAAAAGGGGAGTGGAAGGAGGACGTGTGTGCAATATAACAAGGCTTGCAATTCTAGGACTAACCACTGGACACGGATACCGAAGATTACTTGTGACAACTAGCTATCCTTCTACTGCGGTTGCTCCTTCCCCCATTTTCTGGTCTGATTCTTCTTCAGTTTGGGAAGCCATGGCTGTTTGGCATGATGGCCAGTGCTGACCTTACCACCCCAGTCCTTGCCCAGCTCATGGGGTGACTCTGCTACAGGTTGGACAATGAGGTCTGGAAATCACGTCAGGCACAGACTGGCTCTGCACGCCAGCCAGCACCTGCTTTCAGACCCTTCAGAAACTTATTTAATGGCAGCTCATCTCCCTTATTAAACTGAAGGTTCAATAACCTCTGTGGAAGGAGTAAAAAGGGTTTAAAAAGTGCAAAAAAGGGAGGGGAAAAACCCAACTTTCTGAATTGTCTCCCTCGCAAAGACTTCATCCTCCACCAGAGTCTCTCTCCCGGCAGAACTACAGCCCCACCAGTATCTCACAGCACCCTGCCCCAGTGCAGCAAAAGCAGAGCCAACAGGCTCCCCACTAAGGCCTCTGCTGCAGGACTCCAGCCCACACCAGGAGCACGTGGGTTGGCACGTCTGGGACCACAGACCTGGACCCACAGCGCTGAGGCCAGGAAAGCAAAGGCATCCGGCTTGGTGGGCTGCATCTCACCTGGTTTTGCACGAACCTGGTGAATCCTCAGCCCCACAGCCTTCATGTGGGTGAAGAGAAATCCCAGCCTCCTGTCTGATTCTCACCCCATCTGTTCACTGACCTACAGCTGGCCTGACTTTTGCTTGGGGTTTGTCCTGGGACAGAGGCAGCCACAAGTTGAACACAGCTGCTACTGCAGCTTCTCCATGCAAAGAAATGGAACAAACAAATGTGTGAACTGGGGGTGGACATGAAGTTCTGTCATGAAGAGTGTTTGCCCAAGTTTTTCAGCTCTTTCCATGTGTCTATATTATATCTCTCAACAAACTGTGTCTCCCAAATCATGGAGGCTTGAGGAAGGTGGGTACCAAATGGAGTTGCAGCTTATTTAGGTTGCAAAGGCAGAAAAGCAGCCTGGGTGAAGAGCAGCGCTTCCCAGGAGCACACCTGGTACAACTGCATGGGCAGCTAGGGGAGAAATGCTGCTCTGGGAGGGTAAATATCTTAGCAGCAATGAGACATAGGATGGCCTTCCAGTGGCCTTTTCCTGGTGCCTACTGCTTTCAAGTAAGCACCAGGGAAAGCTGCAACCTGCTTTGTGACATGGTTTGCTGCATGCTTGCGTGGGCCATGGGGCTGTGCTCTGTGTGATCTCAGTCAGTCCCGGCCTCTGCCTCTCCAGCAAGCTGTCAAAGATGTGCTCAGACAGGCAGTGTTCAGCTGCTGTCATCCTGGGACTGCCAGCAATGTCAAGTGGGGCAAAGGAAGGGAAGTAGCTGTAATTTTTGGGAAGCAATGCAGCAGCTCAGCTGCATAATACAGGAAGTTAAAATATGGACCACAGCCCCTATGAGAAACCTCCACTGACCTCCTGCAGATAATCCCAGCCACAAAATCTCTCTTTATGCTAAATTCCTGGCCCTTCTGCTTCAGGTCTTGTGTGGTTCTGTAACAAAGGTGGGTTTGTCTGATGAGGTGCAGTTTGGAGCAATCCCTCTCACAGCTGAGCCTTGAAAGGAATAGACAAGTATGCCTAGAGGTGAAAAGCAACTCAAAATGAAGACCTTTCCATGCCTTCCCAGCTAGCCCTGTGGCACTGCTCCTCTATGCAGATGTTGCTTTTGATCATGCAGCCCAAGCTTGCTGAGCCAAGCAGCAGCCAGGTGCCAAAGCCTACGGCATTCTAGGTAAGAGTGGCAGTACCCCGTGTGGGTGTGAAGTGAGAATCGAAAAGCAAAGGATGAGCCCAGACAGAACCACCAGTCTAAAGGCTAAGATGATCATATGGTTGCTAAAAGCAAGAGCATGAAACTGCCTTAGGAATATCCCAAAAATGAGCCTTTCAATCCTCTGTTCTCCTTTGTGACTACTTGCCATCCCAAGCTGCACTCCTAAATTCCTTAATTCTGCTATCAGTGGATGGTGCTGTTGGGTCATCACATCTTTGTACATGTTCCCTCTGGGAGCAGGCAAACTCAGAAGCCAGCTGTGCAAGAGTCAGCTGCCAAGTAACTGGATAACACATCCTTGACAAACATCTTTCTCCAAAGATGTTTAACCTCTGTACTAACCCCCACCCTGCTGCATTCTGGCATGCGTGAGGAACATCAGAAGATGGTAAAGAGAGGGAAAGCAGAGTAGTACTTTGAAAACAGGAATTAAATTTCTAAAGCATTATATTTACATCCTTCTTGCAGAACTGTCCTATCAATGGTGCCCCTCACACTTGACAGTATCCATGCAGGATGTTGGCAGCACTTTGGGAAGGCAGGTTTCTCCCATGTGCCCCAGAAGGGAATTGACGTCAAGACAGGATGTGACTTGCTTGAGGTTAGAGCAAATACGTACAGCAGCAAGGACCTCAAATCTCATTTTTCTGTGCTCTAACAGTCCAGCAGACCCACCAGGGCTGTAGCTGGCGGCAGTGCCAGCTCAGGGACAGGATGTTTCTGGTGTGTACATTTGAAAGCTTTGCTCCCCACTGGCATCAGCACTGCACTGAGACAGATCAACTCAGACAACTGAGATCTGCCCAAGGCCACAACAGCACTTGGCAATCTTTCCAGTTATTGCTTGTTTTCCTTTTCCTGCTTTCCATCTGTTGCCCAGCTGGGTCCTTCCTTTCTTCAAAAGCATCTTCATGTTTCTGTTGAGTCACACACAGGGCGCTGCATTTTTCAAGCCTCCTGCATTCTCCTGCACAGCCTGCAGGCCAGCCCAGGATCAGACTGTGCTTGGAAAGGGAAGGATCCTGCTCAGGATTGCAGACCTGTGTGTCAGCCAGTGAACCACTGAACACAGTGGGTGCCTCCTTTGGGACAAGAGCTGGTGAAACAAACCAGAAGGAGCTGAGTCCCTCTTGTCTGTGGGGGAAGCTGTCCTGAAGTTCCTCTCAAAGTCCATGCAGCAGGAATGGTCACCTGGTTTTGCAGGTGGAAGGTATCTGCAGGCAGGACAGCCAGGAGAGCACAGCAGATCCAATGGCCAAGCACACATGTTAGGGACAGACATGCAGCAATGTCAGATATCACCCAGTGGCTCTTCCAAGGGCTCACTTCAAGATGTGTCTGGTAAGATATCAAATGAGCCTTCAGAAATGGGCATCAGCCTCCTTTCAGCTGAGGTTTATGTACAAACACATGAACACACTATCTATAGACCTTTCTCAAGACTAGGAGGATGTTCCTCCTCCCAAAGACATCTGGAAATGTGGTGTTTGCAGACAAGAGAGATGGAACAGAGTGCTGTTTGCGTGGTAATTGTAAGGTAGACAGCAATGCAGCATTTCATACTCCATGGTGTTCCTCCCCTTGGTTTTCTGTACAACTTTGGATTGAAAATGTGGCCTGAGAGAGCCATCTTGTTTGGTGCAAAGACTGGAGGAAGGAACAATTTTCTTTCTTGCATGCCATCTGCATTTAGGAGAGCACCCAGCAGCTCTGCTGATTTTGTAGAAATGTTGTCACAGAGTCTTTGCTCTTGCCTTCTGCCTTCTTCTGGCCCTGGTGGCAGAGACTGGTCTAAGGAGAGCAGTGCCAGCATAGTCATCTATCTCCACACATTCCCAGGAATTCACCACAGCATAAAATCCAACAAGGTTTGCTTGAGCAGAGAGGCTGGATCAGATGACCCCATTGTGGCCCCTTCCAGCCTTACCTATTCTGTGACTCTGAGGGCATATAGAAAACCTGATTGCTAAAGCAAAGGTCTGAATGTGAGGCCAGACAGGGGGAACCAGCCTCATCTGTGGTTGATACCTACCAATGAGCAGTCCTCAATATTCCATAATGAGCCAACAAACATGCTGCATGGTCATAATCTGCTGAAGGGGCTGCAGTTCAGAAGGGTTAGTGTTCAGTTTTCTATGACAGCCACATGTGCATTGCCTTAAGCCACTCAGCCTTTCTGATAACGACCCTATACAGGTAACTACTTTCCCCCACCCTTTCTACATTATTCCCCTAATAAAATATATGAACACAAAGCATAGAGAGGAGAAGCCAAAAAATTGCCATTTTATGGTCCTTTACTGTCATGCTGAACCAACTATTTCTACAACCAACTCCTTCTGTGCACAGGCAAAAATGCTTGAGTTGTGCTTCGGTTTGTATTTGGAGGAAGCACCAAGTGGAACATCTGAATTAATCTCCCTCCCTCCCTAAAGGGCTGTGCTAGAAGCAGATGCACATCACAAAATGCAAAGGGCTGAAGGCAGTTGCAGGGCTGGGGAATGTCTCAGGGCACATGGCAGGCAAAAACCAGCAATAGGGGCAATAAAAGGACTTGGTAATGGTGCCATGGGACAGTGGGTGTCACAGAACCCCTCAGGTTGGAAAAGACCTTTAAGATCACAGAATCCAACTGTTAATCCAGCACTGCCAAGTCCACTAAGTCTGTCCCTCAGAGGAGAGGTGTTAACCCTGAGAGATAAGAGTAACAGCAAGCCTCATTCTATCCTAGACTGAACAGGACAGTGCTTGGCTACAGCTGGACTCAGTGATCTTAAGGGTGTTTTTGAACGTAGACGATGGCATGATTCTGTGATGGCAGCATGATGGAGACCTGTGGGGTGTTCAGCCCTCAGTGGCTGGCCCAGGTGAAGAGATGGCTTGTTGCTCTAGCAGGCACTCTGAAATGCTCTGAGCTCCTGAGCAAGGGCTGTGGGAAAGGCTGAGGTGTGTGGCCTGGCTGGAAGGCACAGAGACTGACCCAGGAGGATAAATGTGATGAAGATGTTCCATGATACCTGTGCTGAACTGCAAAGTCCCTCTCCAGAAGAGTGAAGATTTAAAGAGTCCTATAGGATTTGGTTTGACCATGGTACTTCTATTACATTTTGACTACATTCCCCATTAAAAAAGACTCCTTAAGGAATGTTTTTCCCTTTAATCTTTTTCTGTACTCTCTACTTCCCTCACCTCTAGACAACCTCATACCTGAGTTGTATTTTGGAAATATTCCCCCTTAGCAGCACTACCAGGTAGTGAGAAAAGGAGATGAATTCACTTGAGGAACACTATCCCCACAAGAGTTGGCAAGTTAACCATCACTTCTGTATGAAGAGGCAGGGATGCTCAACAAGCAGCACCATTCAAGTCCTCTTTCCGTGGCCTGGAACCAGAGTGGCAGCACGTTTTTTAGGCAGAGGGGACAAGCACAGCTTTAAAAGTTGTCAACACCATCAAGTAAATAAGCCTGGGAATCTTGTGTGCCTGCTCTTTCACTCACACTGTGGCTGGTATCAAGTTTTGCACTGCACAGAGTAAATCTCCAGGATGTTAAAAAAATCTCCTGCTAATTAAGGACTTAAAGACTCAGCTCACTTCATATAGATTTCAGATGGGGGATCTGTCTGTTGTGGTGCAGCTCAGGCTCTGCTTTGTGACTCAGGAATTCTGATGGGAAGCTCAGAACTGCCCTCATTTTTTTTCCTTTCCTAGGCTACAAAGCAGGTGATGACCCAAGGCAGGTGGTCCTTCCTCTTGAAAGGCCAGGGAAACACAAGAATTGTGCCTGTGGCAAAAGATTTCAACACCAAGAAAAATGCCAGCCCATCCCTTGCATATGCTGCAGTCAGGGAGAAGACATGTTTCCTAATTCCAGAAGTGATTCTGCATTCAAAACAATCTGCTGGTGAGTTGGGAGCTCAGACCAGCAACCTAATGTAACAGGTTTCCTAATTTTCCAGCACCAACTGCTCCTGACCCGGGACCATGTCAGGCTCACAACTGGGCAGACAGGGGGTGAACAGCAGTTTCCTCTCATGGGCATCTCTCAGCTGAAGCTGTTCATAACTCTGCTGCTGCTGAAAACTCATCTCAAGTCTGACCCTACCACACTGATGACTTCAGCATTAACGAGTTTCTCCCACAAACACCCAGAGACACAATGTCAAGAGAATATAAAGAGTCAAGCACTCTTAAAATGTGCTGTCTTCAACTAGCTTTTCCAGCACTGTTGTTCAGCACATCTCAAGTCCTGACTCATGCAGGATTAATTTCTTGTCAGTTGAACAAAGTTTAAGATTTTTGGAAAGAGATGGATTGCACAGGGATTAAATACAGGCTGAAGTCAGAATACGTGACTGAACTGAAGTCACAAGTATGGTTGGTATTCCTGGGCAATGAGCAAGTCCTTGAAGTGCATGAGTGGATTGCAGATTGAACCTGATGTGTTTGGTAATTTAATGTGGCGCTAAGGGTAGATTGCATTGGCTAAGTGACACAACAGCTCTAGCTAGTACTGACTCACAGTGAGATGTCAGCTACTTGTCCCTTTTGCAGGTGAATGAATTGTGTCATGCTAGTCCTGGCTAGCCTTGCCATAAGAAAGGATGCCCTGGTCCGTCCCCATTCCTGTGCCCCAGTTATAATATTGTTTTGGTTATGTGAATGAAACAGGTTGAGTGAATGAATTAAGAACTGACTTCCTCTCATTGGTAAAACACTTTGATACCTCCAACTTGCCCTAATCTTTCAAATGGATCGGTTTCAGTGGGCAGGATTACCTGAAGCCCCATCTGACCTTTCCCATTCTGGAAAAAGACACTTTACAAAATATCCCCAGTGCCTAAACAAACCAAGGAGGTATCTCTGGACCCCTCTGCATTCGCTCTCCAGACCAGTCAGCTCTGCCAGGCACTGCCTGGCACATTGAGCAACTTCTCTTTTGTTTTACCATAGTTTAAAATAAGTTATCAACCAATCATAAAATGAATTTTTTGGTTTCTCCTGGCTCCATGAACACAAAGAGGTGCACGTCCTACCATAGGAGGAAGCAATGGCTGTTAAGTTTTACAGTTATAGTGGAAAGCACTGATCACAGCCTGCCGGCCTCACTACTGGATGTGACAGGCAGTGGAGGAGGTGGCTTGGCAACACATGCAGGTGGGGTTGACAGATTTAGGGGGGATTAGGTCGAGGTCCTCGTCATCCGGGATCTCATCTAACCGGTACCCATCCTTTAGCAGCTGGATGTTCAAGTCTTGGTTGATCTGCTACAGACAAAGAGACAAACAGTCAAACACTTGGGACTTCTTACTTCTGGTGGTCAGAAGATGAAGTATTCATCCATCATTCCCTTATTTGGGAATGTATTTCCCCATCATTAACAATTGCCCCACAGTCCTAGATTTGACCTCAGGTGAGGGGAGGGTACTAACTTCTCCAGAGTAGGAATATCCAGAGTGAGATAAACTATTTTGTTATGGAATAATTTTTCCCTAAGGACAAGCCCTCAGTTAAAGTAATGCAGTAATATTATTAACTGGCAGATGGGCAGTCCCCCCTCTCAGTCTGGGGCACACTATAGCAGTGAAAAGATGGTAAAGTTTGGCTCGGTGATCTCAGGTTCAAGTGCTGTCTAACTGGATCTACATAAACAACACTCAGGGCACAGAAACAGCTCAGATCATCTGACATGGTCGCTGCTCTTGGCTGTTTCCCAGGGTTTCAGAGGTATTTTATCCAAGGAAGAGATACAAGGGGCAAGAGTTCTGAGCAGTTTGTGGGCAGAATGGCTGCTCAGCCCCTGGATACAAAACCCTGCAGAAGCAGTAGCCAGAGGCTTCTTACAAGAGGCCAAGCAACAAATTAATGAGAGAGTACAGGAATTTACTCAGAAACAATGCAGAGGGACTAATAAGCCTGAGCTTCCTGCCTTTTCTCTTTGAAAGGGCAAGAGTTCATATCTGCAAGTCCTCCCTGGAATTTCTGCTTGCTCCAAGTAAACACACACTGGGTGACCCTGACCACTTCAGTAACTGGAAATCACAGCACACCCTCAGATCCTTTATTTGTGTCCTTGGCATGTGTACAGTTGCTGAGCTGCCATGGCAGTCAAGATGATGCTTTTGTACCTCATGGGTCAGTGCAGGACTAGGCAGAATGAGGGAAAGTTTGAGTGAAACCAAAGGTAGCCGTGAAAACTGCTGATGGGCAGATCTCTGTGTCATCACCAGGGAAGAAAGCAACATGACACAGTTTCTGCCATGGCCCCTTCCAGATTCACGGAGTCTATACCACTACTAAATTTGTGTGGCCATTTCTGCCTGTGCAAGGACTCTATAAGCCATTTCTGGCTGCTCTGTTACTTGTATTCATGGCAAGGATGACAGGAGAGAGTATAACTCACCTCAGCTGATGAGTATCCCGAGGAGGAATATCTGGACATATCGAAGTCATCATCACTGCAGGGAAGTACAAGTACAGTGAAGAAGGAATTGGTTAGATGAGACCTGTACTCCCCACTTAGTCCTATCTTTCTTGTGCCATGAAACTGTTCTTGAGGCACAGAGAAGCTACATCAAGGGAGCCTGTAGAGCAGCTTTCATCTGTGACCCTCAGATCTTTTCTCACAGCTCTCCTCCCTTGTTCTTACACAGAGACCCACCATGGCATAGGTCAGAGGGAACAGTGGAGGGAAGAATGTGAGTGCTGCCCTCTGTCATGAAAACCCACTTAAGCTGTCATGTATATCATGTTTTTAACCTTTTGCATACCTGTCTGTATCCAGGGCTACCAGGGGCTTTTCATCTGGACTCTGGTCTAGCGACGAGTAGCCCTTGTTGGGAACGACGAGCCTGAAAAAATTAAATGTTGTCCATTAACCAGACAGTAAATGGACCACACACAGTAAATCAGAACCACACACTGCCTAGGGTAAAGCTGTATGATACTTGGCTTTCCCCATTCCACTTCTTTGCAAGCCCCCCCTTATTGGTGAAGATGTTTAAATGGGTGCAATTCAGAGGGAGCAACATGTGTCTCTGGGTAGCTTACAGTGGTTTCACAGGGATTAACACTGGGCATGCCCTAGGAACATACCCCTTCCTGGAAGAAAAAAAACAACATTGGGACATTCTGTACTTCATTCTGGTAAACCTGTTTGGCTAGCATTGCCTGTCATATCAGATTGCTCATTTTTTTGTTGCTTGTTTTTTTCCTGGCAAGGGCACCTGACACCAGCAGTAAGCACATAGGAGAAGGAGGCGAGGGGAAGCCAGAGGCCAGAGTGATCCCACTATTCTGCTGTTGGACATCAGGAATATTATGTGGTGCCTCTTTCTGAATCCCTATCCAGGCCGCTGGCAACACAACACCTCTGAGTTCTCAGCACTAAATTTAGTAATATTAGAAACCTGAGCTGGTGTGACCAGCATAAGAAACCAGTCAGAGCAGCACTTTTTAAATTCCGTTTTTTGCTATGACTTTCAGTTAATCAGAAATGTTACAAAGGCTGAGGATGACTCTGCACCTTTAACTGCCCGGGAGAGTTTGTGAAATGGAGTGCAGGCTTCAGAACTTCTAGGATAAGAAAAATGTGTTAATACAATAATATCTTGTTCACAATGGAGTCCTTTCATCCAAAAAAATGCAAAAATAATTTGGTTCACAATTAAAATAAGATTAACTAAACCAACAAATGGAGTAGGATTCTTTGTTCAGCAAGTAAGAACCTCAGTAGTGACAAAAATCTCTTTCAGTAAGTCAACCACTTTCTCCCAAGTGGTTTTTAACAGCACACCATGATGCACAATGATGCTTCACTAAGAGTTTAAGAAATATAAATCTAAGTATGATAATCCATCTCATCCATGCTCCAACTACTCTCTAACTACCTGAAATGTTTTTCTGCTCCTGCACAGATAATTGCAGCAAGCCATTAACAATTTTAGAAATAAGAAGTCCTGGCAAGCACCGTCAGTGGTCAGGCTCAGGAAGAGTAAGATATATCAAATCCTATAACAAAGCAGATACATAGGTTCACAATTAGTTATATTTTCTTACTGTGTTCACTGAAACATAAATTAAATAAATTAATTTAAAACCTGACGCAGAATTTCCAAACTGCTGCACCAGAGGACTGGAGAAAATGGGATCCACTTGCAAAATTCAGTTAGCCCCTCTCACAGAAGTGGGACAGTCCTTCTGCTCCTGAGGTATGAAGGCAGGAAGTCAAGAAGCAAAGATGTCTGGAGCTGAAGCTGAGATTTGGCAGCACAAGCCTGCCCATACAGATATCAGAAGTACTGACTCCCATTTTCCCTCTCCAGTTTTCCAGTCCCTGCTCCATATATATTCACTGACAGTTGTTATTAAATCATCAGTGAACAAAGCACTCTCAGGTGATCTAGGAGCAGAACACTGTGGTGATATTTACTTGATGAAAAAAACCCCCCACTACATCTTCTTGAGAAGTGTCTTTTTTCTTAATAACAAAAAACTTTAATTTAACTGCTGCAGACAAAAATTGTTACAGTGTCTCTGCCTCTGATTTAAGTATTTCCCTCACATCCTGATTGTCCTTATCTTCACTTCCCACTGTCCTTGGAATAAAGTTGGGTAGCAGTGGTAGCTGCTTTTGTCTGCAGCTGCCCTGGTAAGCTTCTTTGTCTTTGTGTTTTTGCTCACTTGAAGCCACACAGGTTGGACCGTAATGTCCAAGTTTAGGTTACCCTGAGTGGACTGTAGCACTCAGCTGTATTCAAGTGATGTGGATGGTGTTGTGGGCTCTGTCTACACTCATAGGAAGAGCATCACCCCTACCTTGTTCACATTTAATTTGATTTTAAGGAGATTGAGAGTGTTATGGATCCAATTACTCTCATCTGTAAGGCTGGCTGCACCCTTGTCCCAGAAGAGGACTGAATGGTGAAGGCAACCTTGTACTAGAGGCTGGATGTCAGAAATCCACAGGGATAATACAAAATAACAGAGGCCTTGGGGAAGAAGGAGGAGGTGGAGCAGAGAGTAGGAGAGGTAAAGCACAAAGGAAAACATATTTGATGAGAAGAGCAGGACTATTTAAAAAAGGGGGAAATGGTTTTAGCTTAATTATCCTGCAGAGACCTGAGGAAGCCAACAGTTCAGACTTAAACAATAATCTGGAAATTTTGCAGTGTGTCCTCCTGTCCTCCTGGAATATTTCCCATTATACTGTTACCCTGTGAAAACCTGCTTGAACAAGCTTGTGGCATTTCTGCCTTGCTGGTGTTACCAGTCAGTGGCAGACAGACTGAAGCATTCAGAGGTGCCCAGATGTCCTTAAGTGAAATAAAACTGAGCTGGCTGTTTGAAATCTTTTGTCAATAGGTGTCACTGCTCCGCTCTTTCCACCGGCAGCTTGGAAACAACAATCTCTTCATGGAAAATTTGCTCATGTTACAGGTAGATACCTCTATTTATCCCACCTTCTCTCCCTTATTATCTTCCTCCACTAATTTCAGTGTTTCTAAACCTCTCAAGCTGCAAATCTGCTACCATTCCTCTCAGGATGCTAGCTTGTGCCTATTGTCAAAAGAAAACAAGCTTTTCCAGAATGTACTTGGAAGATAAGGAGGACCAGTGGGCACGGAAAACACAGCTGAGCACAGTTCCTGAATTTCTTGCTGCCATGAAAGGTCTGGCTCTTTTATATGGCCTCAACATCTGAACACAGAGAGGAAGCAATGCAGCATGTTCCCCATACGTATTTCAGGGGGACTAGTTGAATAGGTCCTGTCAGGATTTATAATATTTTGGGTCTGGGGAATTAGTGTGAACAAGAAAGCTCATCTTTCAGATGCATTGCATATAGAGAGGCTCTGACCTGCAGCTCCTATTCTACTTAGTATATGGTAATCCAGAAAACTTTCCCCTTCATCAGTAAACATCCAGCATTCCCCAGATTCCTCCATCATTTTAAGTGAGGTCCTCCACTAAAACCTGCCACCTTTCCAGCAGCATGCAAAGCATGCAATCTTGTGGGCTCATGGGGTTTCCTCTTTCCTGAACATAGGTAAGTAATACATTAGTGTACTGAAGTCTGTGCAGACAAAAAATAGAAATAGTCTAAAAGAAAATATTCAGCTCAGAATGTCTTTGTTTACAGCACATAAACCTCACTAGACATACTGCCTAATACTCTCTTACAGAGCTCCTTCAAAGCATCTCCAGCAAAGTGTGACCGTGCTGTTCCAAGGGTGGAGAAGGTATGTAGAAAATCACACAGAGACAGATTATTTACAAGCCTTCATTAAATCTGCCAGTAGCAGAACAGGTCACCATCAAAAAGGAGCAGTGGAACTTACAGTGACAAAGGCAACCAAGGCAGAATTAAGCTCTAAACTAGTCTGTGTTTAATGAAGAAGCACAGCTCCTCTCCCACTGGCAGGAGCAGGTGCTACCTGAGACTACTCAGATGCTGCAGGATGGCTCTATCAAGCCCCTGATTCTGACCTGGCTGGGCTGCCTCTGCCTTCTACAGGCTGCAATACCTCTGGTCCTGGGCTTAAGTGCCCTTGCATCTTCCCAGGGGCTGGGATGCAACACAGCCCAGAGCATTTGGGGCTGCCAGCTCCAGGAAGGACCATCACTGTTCTTGCAGTGTGGCTGGCAGAAGGCAAATGCAATGAACACTGTCCCTGACCACCCCAGGACCATTAGGGACTGCAGCTCAGAGCACAGCTGTGAGTACTCTTCCAGTCCTTTACCTTGTTCGTGCCATCACGTTGTTCTTCTTGGGCTGCTGATTAACTGGGCTTCCCATGTTGCCATTCTTCAGGGACCCCTTCCGAGCCAGCTCCCTCTGCTTCTCTGCACAGGAGATAGGAATGGGAAAAGCAAAATTAGAGCAGCAGCCTAGCTGGCAACCACAAGAAGAAACCCAGATCTGGTAGAGGCAAAAGGCACAGCAGAATTAACAGCAAAGGACATGAACTTGCCACTTCTTATGAAGGGATGCTGTAAAGGCTGGATGAGCTGTGTTCCACTTTCTCCAAGGTCACCAGGGACTAAAACTAATCTACCTTCACTCATAGCAGCCTTTTGACAGGGAACACACTAAAATCTGGGTCTCCAAGACCCTTAAGGTCTTGGAGCTTCTGGATGAAACCCAGCTGAGGCAGACAAGAGGCACAGACCTTGTGCCTATCTGCAGCTAGTTTCTGCATGGACTCCAATACCATGCTGTACTAATATGACTCTGCTTCTAGCAGGGATGGGAACCCAGGCATGTATATAAATTGATATTAAATTTTCTGATTGAAAGTCCTTCCTTGTTTCTTGTGGAGGACCAGTTGCATTGAGTTACCAGCTAGTCACAAAAGTTGAGCTAACTGCCCCAACCTCATCGTGTAACAGCAGGCAAGGATTGTATGGAAAAGCTGAGCTTGGAGCCAGTAAGGCAGGAATGAGAACAGCTAAAAAAAATTCTCCAGAGTGTGAGAAAATGCTAGAAACTACTTTTGTGGCATGCCTAAATAACAGGTGTACCAGACTGCTTGCTGATAAATCTGAATAGTGAATTTGTTTTGCTTTGTCCTCTCCTGCAATGTGAATTCTGTTGTTGGGTTGTGTTTCTTCTGCAGATTTTATTTCCACTTGGAGAGAAGAGCAGCTTTTCTCACTTGTTGTGGAAAAGCAGCATGCTTCTACAGTGCGCAAGTTCAAGGTGAGCCAACACTTTCCCTTCCTCACAAGTCAGAACAGGGGGACACACATCCAAGGCTCCCTTTCTTAATGGAGAAATAAACAGCAGGGATACCTGGAGATTGTTATGATGAGGAACATAGAGACAAGAATACATACACTTGCAAACCATACCCAGCCTGCTCCTGCTGACAGCAGAGGTGAATAAATGCACATGGAACTTGGCAGGAAAAGGATTGGATTAATAACTCACTCTGGCTTGAGCAACTTGAGAGACTGATTCAGGATCGAAATCAAAACCTTAAATCAGAGTAATTTCTCAGTATGGAACTTGAAAATGCATTGGTTACCTCTGTCTCCAGAATAAAAGGCTGATATTTTGCAGGCCACATGAATTTTGCTGTTCAGAGAGAGATAAAGCAAGACTATGAAGGCAAATACCTACAACACGAAATACAACCTGATTTCCACTCATCTCCATCAGAAGTTCCAGTGCTGACCACAAATACACAGCACTGTGACAAGCTGCCAATGCTTTATGATGCTGATGAAATGGTTACAGGGGGCTGAATACACTGTCAGTGCAGGTGTGATGGCTCACAGCAATTATCAGCAGGGTTGAAACCCAGATTCCTTTTGGCTTTTCACTAATTTTCCAGAGAGAAGCTTCCTTCAAGAAGCAGGACAGAGCAGAGAAGGTTGGGAAGACATGAAGCAGTTTGTGTCTGCCTTTGGCATTACAAAACACGTACAGTTAGGAGTTTGAAGATCCTGTCTGATGATTAGCAGAATCACTGTGTTGGATGATGTATTTAGTTTGTATGCAAGTTTTTGGTAGTGGAGGGTTGCACAGGTGGGTCCTGTGAGAAGCTTCTAGATGTTTCCCTGTGTCTAACAGAGCCAATGCTAGCAAGCTCCAACACAGACCTGCTGCTGGGCATGGCTGGGCTCATTAGCAATGGTGGTAGAGACTCAGGGATAACACAGTTAGGAAAGGGGGAAAAGTCCTGTACAACTGCAGCCAGACAGAAGAGTGAGGGTGTGTCAGAAACAGCCCTGCAGATACCCAGGTCAGTACAGAAGCAGGAAGAGGAGCTGCTCCAGGTAGCAGAACAGATTCCCCTGCAGCCCATGGTGAGGCACCCCTGTAGCCCATGGAGCTCCACAAAGGAGCAGAGATCCATCTGCAGTCTATGGAGGACCCCACAACAGAGCAGGTGGGCGCCTGAAAGAGGCTGTGACCCTGTGGAAAGCCCATGTTGTTTCTGCGTTTTCACTCCTCTGCCCAGATGAGTAATAGAAAAGCTTTGATTGGCTCCTGCTGTCCAGCCAGGGTCACCCCACCACAGGTAATCTACTCATCTCCATGCTTGAGTGAAGCAAAGCAGCAGTTTTCTGTTTCAGTGGAGAACTTGGAGAATACAGACAGCTGTGCTGTCAGTCTGACTCATGCGGGAATTTGGCTGCACCGGTTCCACTTCAGCTAATCCTGGATGTTGTGTCAGAAGAACACATGGAGCACGTGAATGTGCGTGTGAGGAGGGGGTCCAGGATCCTTCTGACACCCCTATACTGCTCTGAACAGCATGAGGAACAGCCTTTTGTCTGGATCTGCCAACCACATCACATCTTGCTCCTCCTTTTTGTTCACCTTTTCACCTCATCTTTGAGACACTCTGTCCCTTATGACATAAAAATCATTTCAGAGAAGATGCATCTGCTTAAAGAACAAACTATTGCTTTCCTGCTAGCCCCACACTAGCCTGTGCTGCTCGTTGACTCCACCTCCTCCAGCATCTCCTCCAAGTGCTGCTTCAAAGTAAGCTCTGCTGGTGACAAGACAACAGCCAAGCAGACTATGGAGCATTCAGTGAGGCAGGGAAAACACCTAAGTAAAAAGTAGCAAAGGAAATGCATGCTGCAGACACAATGAGCACCACAAGTGGCCCAGCCTTGTGTCCTGCCTGGCAGTGGTCTCCTATTATAGTTGCCTGCAAAATTAATAAGAAGGTGCCCCAGCATGCCAAGCAATCAGCAAACTGTCCTTGTCCCAGTATTCACTCACCTGATCCAGGACATGTCAGAGGGTGGAAGGACAGACAACTGCATGCTGACAAGTGACACACATCCACACAGGGAGCCTCTTTGGGGAGAGTCAAGAAGGGGCTGAATACTCCCCTTATCATGGGAACACCTACTGCCCTAATGAAACATTTCAAGCACTGCTTGAGATGATTTAGTGCAATCTAAAATGGTTACCTGTTCAACTGGAGGGTGTGTCTAGCTGCTTTATGATGAGAGAAAATAGTAATGGAGCATGTGAAGCAGAATGGACTTAACATGAATGTGTCTAAACTAAAAATCAGACTTGAATGAATCCTTAAAATTATTTCTCTGGTTTCAGCATTTAAACAAAATCATAATCAGTTTTAATAACACTTCCAAGGTTTTTTAATAAATTAAATGCTGAACAGTTTGTTTGGAGCACGTTGCTATGTAGGGGTGGGCTTGCTTTTGCCTACTATCCCCCCAAACGAGAAATGCCAAGAGTAGTCATATGCTTGAGTCTCCTGCAGAACTGCTCCTTTTGTGACATGAAACAAAGCAGACAATGCAGGAATCTGGTGAACATCATGCTGTACTATGCTGAAGAGATATTTGAAGAATCAGACCAGCCCAAATCCGCATTTTCCATTTGCCCCAAGATAGTGGGTGAGTCTGGCTATGATCAGACATGGTGGGTGGAGAGTGGTTTAGGATGCCATTGTCACACTGTCACTGTGCTTGACTACCTGCAGCCCCCTCAGCTGAGGCAGCCTGACTGGCACAAACACTCTTTTATGGCAGATGAGGCTGATTTGCCTCCTTTGCACTGCGGGGGGGAACAAGCAGATGCTGACTGCTCCAGTCTCTTTGCTGAGAGCTGCTGGCTGGGCCTCAGTAACTCAACTGCTTGTGAACCTGCCTGACCAGGAGAAGATGGAGCTTCCTGCTATGGGGACAGTGCAGTGTGGACCCATGGATTTGCTGAAGTGGCAAGACAAAGAGAAATTATTCCAATGTGACAGAATTGCATTTTTTCATTTTCAAGGTGGATGAGATGAGATTTTGCGATGTATTTCTCTCTCTGTCTCCCACAGTCAGCTAAATTGTTTCTGAGGCTGAGGACTCTGATTCCCTGATGATTTCTAATTTCTCAAGTAAGCTGAGAATTTCAATTGCACACTAAATGAAATTAATACGTCTGCTCAAATTCTGCTGAATGATGAACAGATTCATCATTAAAGCAAATTAAAGGAGAAAGAATGAAATGCTGTCTACAGCTTCTTCAAGCCCAAGTCTTGATTTCAGTTCACTTGCATCGCTTAGCTGGGGGACATTAGCATGAATCTAGGTAACACTGAAATCTTCTCCACCTTTCACCTCTGACAGACAGTACTTGTCAGGGAGGACTGTGTCACTGCTTGGAGAGGATTTCAGGGTACATACATAAATTTGGGCTTTGCCTGCAGGCTGCACGGAAAGGAAGGTGTAAGGAAGTTGTGTGTTAGGACCATGCTGATCCCAGTGCTCCCTGGAGTGTAAGTATGACCATGTGGCTGGCGTTAGTGCAGATGATGGCTGTGCCTACCTGCACTGAGAAAAAAAAGCAAAAGAAAAGTGATTTTTACTAAACAGGTGTAGCAGAAACAAAAAGGACCTATGTGTGGCCAGTCCCCCACGGTGAACATGGGAACCAAAGTTTCAAGCTGATACAGGCCAGGCATCAGCCCTGATTACTCACGACATCGGAATAAGGATATTGTTTCACTGGTTTCAGAAAAGACTGTTCAGATAGCAAGGGTCAGGCTGCTATGTCACCCAACTAACCAACCTGGGTGAGACACAGTATTCTTAGCTGAAGCATGTCATTTTCCTGACCCAGACAATCTTGGGGAAAATAGTGAACTATTTTCTAGTTTCTTCAGCTATATGAACTGGTTAGAAAGAATCAGTGTATGAATCTGTCTTCCAAGGTCCCTCTAGGACCAGGTTTTAAAGATCAAATAGCAGCATTTCCATATGTTCTGTTAATCTGGCTGTTGCTCTGTGCTTTTGGCATGGCTGAGAAGTGGCACAAACAGAAGTGGGCTGGGAGAGGTTCTAAGCTTCCTTCAGCTCCCAAG